GATTCTAGTAGAAGTGGGCTTGGCAAGATGCCTGCTTCCGATACTTTCTACCCTTATGCGGAAGATAAAAGAAAAACAGAAAGGGTTAAAGCTGTATTGGGACGTAATCAAACTGTCTGACTGTAGCAATCACTCACCGAGAAAGAATGATCCAGAGAAAAATGTTTGTCCAATAGTTCACTGTCTTCATGTTAACCCAAATTTTTTTTCTTTTATTTCGTCTCCCTTCGCAAAAAAAACAAAAAAAAATTATTCATTGCAATATGTTCTTTCAGACCCGTGCCAATGAGCGAATAAACATTTAATTAATTCATTAATCGAACTTTTATCGAAAAAATTTGCATAGTTAAGATATTACAAGGAAAAAATATAATAATAAAGATTCAAATTAATTAAAAAAATCTTTTTTGAAAAAAAGTAATTCAAAATTAATTTTCTTGTCAGATTTTTAATACGAAAAATGTTTCAAATGTGAAATGAAATTATTAAATAATCAAAATTAAACATTTCAATTATTACAGTCAAAAACTTGATTATTATAAATTTTCTTTTACTAATTATGCAAATTGATGGTTGTTAATGGAAATATTTGAAAGGAAAAAAATGTCCAACATCTTTGGATTCCCACTCGCGCAAATAATAAATAACATTAATTCGAATTTTTAATCGCTTCTGCGTAATAATATTACTTTTGGCATGATTATAAGGGTTGAATAATGAAACAGGAGCTGGTTTGATTGCCTAGTACAGAGAAGAGTATATTCACACTGTCAGTAATTATTTGACAGATGAGAAAGGAAGCAGATGAAGATCCGCTTCCTTTCCCTCTCATTCCATATAACAGTCTAAAGCCTGTTAAATAATGGACACTCATTGAATGTTTAAAAGCCTTAATTGCACATATTCTGTCTTTAAAATGTAGAATTATATACGTATATCTGGCGAAATTCTAAACCCTTTAAACTTATGCAAAAATTAAACACAGATGCCTCTTTTTAAAGTTAAATCATTAAATGAGAAAACTCGCTTCAAAAATGCCATCAGCGGATCCAGATTTGTTTTTATTATAGTTTGTTCTTCATCAAATCAGCTTAACGTGTCGAATGTGAAGCAGAGAAATGCTCTAATTGTCAGCAATTAGCAGAATGGAGGTTGCTATCTTCTCTAACGTGTGCAAAAGGGAATGACCTACTTGGCGATCATTTAGTGATATCCTTTTAATGTCCAAAGGCGTCTATCACCGCAATTATAATTCCAGATGTATCCACATTACATCTTGTTATAATAGATGTTACTTGTTCGATATCTCTGTAAGCAACCATTATAAGCGAATTTCGTTAATTTGATATGTAAAATGTTTCGTAAACGATGCAATTTATGACATTTTTATTATTTTCCAAAGTCGTAAATATATTTTTATTTTTTGCTAATTCTTCTATTGGATCTACTAAATCTACTGTAATATCGAATATTACAGTAGATTTAGTTTTTTTTCTTTTTTATTATAACGAAGATTGTTATAAATGCCGACAATCTAAACTATCTCGGTATCTAATTAAATTCCGTATTAAAAATTCTTCCTTGTCGTTTTAGGAATGTTAAGAATACCCTTTTAATTGTAACAAAAAGACTTTTTAACTGCACGTCATTCAAAGCATAATATAGAAAGCCTGTTATCTGCCTAATAGTCCTTGACAGATTGTAATATCAAGTGTAGAATTATTTAAAAGTTTCAAAGTACGAGCTAGAAAAAAGAGACAATATATATATATTTGTTCTGTAATATCCGTCCTTATTTTGTTATGAATTCTTTTTTTTTTTTTTTTCATTCAACTCCCGAAATTACCATCTTTTATCGATTAACAGAGTGGAGGAATCAGTTTTCTTTAAATAAATTACATGAGAATTTAATACTGCATTTTGATAAATAATCAAGTTATTACACGATATACGAAACCATTTTTTTCGTAGCTTAAGTTAAAATTAACCTTATTTACAACTTTAAAAATTAAGGGGGAAAGTTTACACTATTAAGTGAAGGATAAAAAAATTAAAACGTTTTGATAAAAATTTTAGTGAACAATATTTGAAAAGTAGTAAATGCTCTCCAAAGTTTGTTTACAAATTTTTTATTGGTTTCTATAGACGAAGCATTTTATTTTCTCTAGAGTCATTCTTCACATCCAACTACAAATCAAGATACGCTACTGGCCATTCTTCAAAAGTTCTCTTCGTTTTTTGATAAAACGAGATGGATTGTTTTCATTGCAAGTACCATCTCGACGCCAAAGTTCAGTTTGCAGTCTAAGGACTTATTGCTATCTATCTCTGCTGACAATACGAACACGGCCATCGATACACGCCACGCATGAATGCCACTTTGCTGCTATAGCTAGGAAATAACCAAAAAAGATGCAAGCTTATTTCTTACTGCTGTGAACTTATCCGTGAATGTACCTCTCCTTTTTTTTATTATTACTCTTTTTTCCCTTCTTATCGCATGGCGCGATGAAAAATATCTACATCTGTATCCCTCGAGACCACTTTAAATAACCAATACTTAAGACGACGGCCTAAAGGGGAACGAACCTCAGTTTGTTTATCGTCTTATATAATTTTAACAAACAACAAGCCGAGATTATTACGAACTTAATTAAAATTTTACTATTAGAACTCATTCAGAATTTAATACCCATTCGGCATTAGGGTGCAATGTTAATGAGCCGAATCTTTAAAACTGGGCTTATTCATTAACTTAAAATCATTTTCCACTTAATCATCGTCACGTCGACCCTTTTCTATTTTAAACGTAACACTTCTCGAGAGGATTATAACTACTAGTCTTCTCCATAAAGGATTTTAGTATATATTAGCAGTCATCTATGTAAATTAAATATTTTCAAGAAAATATTCTATGATTCTTCCATGCGTGCGTATTATGTAGAGTTATAATGTCAAGCAAAGCTTTTATGGGCTCCACTAACTAACAGCCAAGCGACTAAATGGATCGTGAATTCGTTGCATTTTCAGGTGTAAGTGCAGTTCGTCAGAATTATGCTTCACGTATTTATAACTTATCTGAAGAAACGTCGAAGCAAGTTTAATCCAGTTGATTAATCGTTTTAAAATCAATTTATTTGATATTGTGTCATCTCCGATTTTACTTACCAATATTTTTAGGAGGATCCCATCAGGATTTGAAACGTATCAGATGAATTTAGTAACCGTATAGATAAAGATTGAAGAGTAGGATTTTGAGATTTTCCAGATCCAAATGGTGCGAGCAACAAGCCAGATTGTCTAAAACACCCCGCTCCACTTCAAAACTTCTAATTTATTTAACTTTACGATTATTTTTACAACCTCGGAAATCTCCAACCAATAGCAAAGTCCGGTAGCCATTTAACGAGCCGGATTAAGAGGTGGACCGTAAATCAAGGTGGCGCTCTTTGGTCCATTAGGTTAGAAGTGCCGTTGGAAAACGTTGACGCTTTATGACGTGGCCCAAACTCACGTACTGCTGACGTCATCGTTTCCTGTGTACAGTATTCGGCATCGGCAGAGATGGAAAAGAACAGGATGGAAATTATATAATTACAGTTCAGTGTCATTTCAGCGAGGAAGCGACGCTCGTAAAGTCATTGATGATGAATTCACAACTAATTGATTCTATTAACTCTAGCGGAATTTTCGGTTGTTAAGATTCCTTAAACCGCTTCTTTTTACCCACAAAATTACGAGATTAAAGCGATCAATCGAGTTGTAATTTCAATACCGAAATGTTATCTTGTTTCTGTTTAAAGAAAATTTACAATATTTATTACAAACAAAAAAAAAGCCACTTCTTTTCATTAATACGACTCGTGTCGTTTTTCTAATATAGCTTATATGTTTGTTATATTCAATGTTTTTTTTTATATTCATATAAAAGAATTTTTCTGGGTCAAAAAATTTTTTCAATATTCTCGCTGAAAGAGTTGATTGTGACAGGCCGGAGTAGAAAACCAATAACTTCTGGAAAATAATAGACAAACGAAAATTCGCAGCTAGGTTATTTTTCAGAAAGATTTGTTATATCTGGTCCAATGGAAATGGTAAAAGAGATTTTCTTTCCAAATCCCAACACAACGGAATTATTAATCATGTTTTAAGTGTGCGTTTCGTTGAGTCACGAGTACTGTTTATGGTCGGGATGGAGTTGGATCGACGCATCCTTTGTCGGTTGCCATAGTTACCAATGCCTGAAGGCCTTTGGCTCGGATCTACTACCTTCGTTCGTTTTTATGTTTCTCTCGCCAATCCTTTCGGCGAGCGGGGTTACTCCCAGACGAATGAAAATTGTTGCGTTTTCTGGCGATTACAGATGAATGACAAATGAAGTTCTTCCGTTCTCAGAGTTTTTTACCCCTCTCGTTTCGGAGCCAAGATGGCGAAGATATGATAATCATTACTGGAAATAGATACAGTCTTTCTTATCTCAGCTGATAACTACCTGAATGGGTGATGTCTTTCATTACTTATCGTTTTAGGTGAAAATGTTTCCAACCTGACTTTTTATAGCCCCCATATCGTTATTATTTTTTAAATAATTTGATTTAATTGCTGATAGTTTATCAGCAAATAAAATAAGTAATTTTATCGATTCTACTACTAATTTTTCATATGAATTTTTCTTGTGTTCTATTTACATAGAAGCTAATATAATACATATATATTAATATATACGTATTGTTTATTAAAATGGATGAATTTTATTAATTTAACATTTTATATTACGGGATGACTAAGTTAATTTCTTAATTTCGACAAAATTGCGTCTAACGATATTATTGTAAAGGAAATAACGGAATGATCTCTGTTATCGATTAAAAACATTTAGCAGATATAAAATCTAGGAAACAATTTCAGCTATAAAAACACGATAACCGATACTTTTTATGAGTTCTGAGCTGCAAAACTAAATATTAAAATTAGCGTTAATTGATAAGTGAAGCTCTTACCTTGTCTGAATCCACTTTGTGCCGAGCGATGCTCTCCAGATACATATGTTGGAAAGCATCCTTGATATCAATGTTCACTGCACATCATCCTGCGTGTCAGTTCGCCAACGAATTGCTACTGTAGAAGCACACGACTGACGTCACAGAACGCGCGAACTGACGTCACGGTGGTGTGAAAACCAACTAGCTCGCGCTCCTCGAGCGCTCTGCTTTATGTAAGGGAGTTGGGAGAGTCGATTTCCTCTCCAATCGGAGGGGAGACGAAGAAAAGGAGGAACCGTTTTCTTGTACTTACTTTTCTAATATCGTTTCTCTTTTAAGGGTCGGTTTAATTACAAAATGTTGCTACGTACAGATAAGATTTGTTCTGCAAGTCCTTCTGCCGCTTTCAAATGTAACAAAATAAGGTTATATTGATTTTACAATCAACCTCTGTAGAAAATCTTCTGGGCTACATCCGTGACGTCACACTCATTATCACCACGTCTTGGCACTAATGAAGTTTGCCCGAAACGGAGAAGATCAACTTCCTTAATTGTCATATTCTAAATGCGAAAGACGTTGTTTTGTTTGTTATGATGTTTAACAAGTTTCAACTCTTCTTATTTGCTGGAGATCTAGAATAAATGAATAAAAATGATTAGAAAATTCAATTTTGAACAAATATGATTAAGTTTGGTGTAAATATTTGAGATGACGAATGAATTTATGCTGTTCAATCTAAGTAAATATTACACGTTCGACCGTATTTCGTAGCATTTGATTTTGTTAGATTATAAGATAAATTTCTTTTTGGTTATTCAGACGTTCGAGTCATTTGATAACTTAATTACTTTATAGTTAGAAGATTTCTAATGATAAAAAGTATATTGACCTCATTTAAAATTACGACATACATGTGCGGTTATTGAATTAATTAGTTTTTCTCTCCCTCTCTTCTATTCAACTGAATAAAATACAGTTTTTTCTTAAAAATTATGTCTAAAAATATGAGTTATTTCTATTTAAAAAGATGGACGAGTTTAAATATTTATAAGTAAAAATTTTCTAAGTTTACTTGATCTATACGTTAGAAATGGTTCGGAGTGAGTACAGATTTCAATCTTTCATGTCTTATGAGATTTCTATAATGGTTTACTGACACCAACCATTCGAAAACCATTATCATAAAAGATAGAATGACATTGAAGAAGTTTTCCTGTATGTTTCTTATGACCACATTTCATTGTTTTGTGGAGATTCATGTCTTTCTATACCATTTTCGATGCGAAAGAAATCTATACAAAATAATAGCTTCGCCGACGAACAAAGCATAAATGTATATTTTTTTCTTTGTAGATTGCTTGGATAATAATCATTTGTTGTCCCGTCCGTCTTCATTAATAAATGATATTTACCTAAAGAAAAGTAATAAAACGTTTCGAAATAAATAAATCAATTCAAGAAAAATATACTTCATTATTAAACTCTAAATCGATACATTTTATAAACTTCACTTAATAAGAATAGTGATTAAAATATTTATAGAAATTAAGATTTTAATACGTTTTAAAATTAAAAGTTATTCACAATGGGTGATAAATTCTGACAAAAGATGAATTTAACTCCGGTGGTTATCTCGTTCGCGCTTCTATTCATAAGGGTGCTGGCTCGATGCAATCGTCACCAAACATCAATAATGGTCTGACACCCATCCCTGGGCTGCAAACCAATGAACAGTATCTACTACATCAAAAGATTTCAATGAAACTGACTCGAATAATAGAAGAAGGCAGATGAAGTTTAGATCGAATCGAAGAAAATTGCTTAATCTAACGTGACGCGATATATACATTGTACAGCAAATAACCTATTCTTCTACGGGTGCTACAGGTATTGTGATGTTTACGGAAGATCACATTTATAAATGGCATCGGAAACGATGGGAAAATTCCAGATGTCATTCGGAGCCGTAGATTAATAGAGAAAATTGAAAACTTGGCTGATATAATAGGGAAAAGAACGTAATAACGATAGATGCCAAAATGGCAATAAAAATGTGTAGTAAATTCGATGAAGTTGTCTTCATAATTCCGACTCTTTCTCGAAACTGGCAAATAAATAATTGTTATATGTTTAAAGAGTTCTTTTTTTCTATTCGTTGTAAAATTTATGTTTTGAGTAAATATCAGGTAAAAAGTAGGTTAATAGCAAAAGCAAAAGAATATAATCTAACATAAAAGTAGGTCTGGAAAGAAATACCAGTCGTATAAAGAAGCAGAAGAAATAGTATTAGAGCTAAAGGGAAGAATTGGAGAAAATGGTGTCGCCTTTTAGAATTGGTCGTGCCTCTTAATAAATTGTTTTTTTTTTTTTCCTTAGTATTTCCGAATACTTATATAATACCGGTTTTTATTAAATTATCCAATATAATAAGTTCAGTCAACTAAGTTTTATTGAAAAAATGATAAATTCTTCTATATTGTTAATACCATCTTTATGATGTTTTCTTTAGAAGTAAAGAAATGTTATGAATATCAAAATAATATACAAACAGTAAACTTTTTAAGAATAAAAAAACTCCACGTAATGATCTGCGTTCGTCCATGCATAAAGCTAAAGCTGTAATATGCTAATTATTTATTTTTAATTGGGGATTAGAGAAAGAGCTAACGTTTTATTTTTTTTTTTAGTTGGCAAAATATCACAATGTAGAAGATTTTCCTACTGCATTTTGGATTAAATCTCGAAAACAGGAAGGCTGAATTCGTTTCAAAGTTATTAGGTTTTAATACAAAAGACCTCCAATGCAACCGCAGAAGCGGCAAAGTACTTTTAAATTAGAAAAAAGAGAGAGAGAGAGAGAAAATGTAATAACTACATATTCAAAATTTTCATCTTTCATTTTGAAATGCTATTTTTCATTTTGATAATATCTAACACTTTCTATCAATGGATGAAGATTATTATATTCTTAGAGAAAATGTAATAACTACATATTCAAAATTTTCATCTTTCATTTTGAAATGCTATTTTTCATTTTGATAATATCTAACACTTTCTATCAATGGCTGAAGATTATTATATTCTATGAAATAAATCTATTTAATAATTTTAATGGAAAAACATGACGCTACATTCTACATATATCTTTAGAATTATTTCTAAAGCCAAAACTTTTTTCAAATTCGGGATACATTTATCTGCTCCAATATTAGTCACTACCGATTAAATTTGAATTGAATATATTTTTTTATATATATAAATTGAATTTTATATAAATTTTATAACTGCAATTTCGTCTTTCAAAAAATTTTCTGGACACATCCTCTAAGGAAATTAGAGCTTCATTTAATGTATAAATTTATAAAAATAGTAAAAATATATATCCTTTAAGAGTTTTTTCTTTAGACAGTATAATATATAAAAGCTATTTTTTAAACTTTGGATAATGTACAGAACTTCATACATATGACTTCTATATGTCCTAACAGTTTTAAAATATATCAGGTTCATACATATGTAATTTTATATATTATCATAGAACTACATATGTATGCTAGTGTATTGTCTTCCAAAAATCCGTTGGGCTTTATCCAAGATGTGCCTGTAATTTTAATAGAAGTTTGATGATTTATAGAGTTTTAAAGTTATTATATATATTTAATAATCTTAAATTTTTTAAGAAACTATTATAAAATTATTATTATTTATTAGCTAGGACGACTTTAAAAAATTCTAAACATATGACTTCCATATGTTAAAATAACAATTTATAATATGTGTATCGTACGTAGTCCGTTCTACGTTATCATACAACTACATATGTATGCAGCTGTCTTTCAAGATGTATTGGGTTTCATCTAAGCTGGTTTGTAATTTTGGTATCGTTTATTTCATTTTGTAATACTTTAAAAGTTATTTTATTATTTAATAATCGTGTAACTACAAGAAGCAAATAGTTGTTTTGTATCAGAACATTTTCTATTTAAAGAATATTTTAATATATTTAATAATTTATATTCTAATATAACTTTTCATTTATATTAAAAATAATATTAAAAAATTGTTAGATTATCTTCTTAACTAACTTGTAAGTAATCAGTATCTATTTAAAGTTACATAACCTATTCTGTTATAATTGATTAATAGAATATTTTTTAAAAAATATTCTTAATCGGCCTAGATGCACGGGAATAAGTAGTAATTTAGCCTGGCCCTGGACACAGAAAACTCCAAAATTTAATATTCTTGTATAAAATATGGTCTAAAAGTTATATTAATGAAAATTTATTTTTATAAATGGTGATAAATGCGTTTTTATTAATTTAATTTGCGTATTTTTATGATATTTTGAGAAGCGTGAGGCTTCACATTTGTAAATGCTCGGGCCTCATTTCGCCTTTCAGTCCCTGATCCCAATTGAAAATAATTTTTTTACAAAACAAAAACGATGAAAAGGAACATATTCTTTTATCAAACTAGAAAAGAAAAAAATATAGGCTATATATATGGTATATTTATTTTTTTCAATGACAAACCTATTTAGACATTTTATAAATACATTTATCAACAATTAAACATTCTTATTATAGTCTATAACAAAGCCTACAAGACATACGGTATATTATTAAATTAGAGCAGAATATTAAATTCTATTGCTAAACTATTTGAATTATATAACAAAATATTCAATACATTTCCATAAGTTAGATAGAAATAGGCCATACAATACTTTCTAAAGACGTATAAGGTTTGTTACAATTATAAATTCGGCAACAGCCCAAATTTATTTTATATAAATACTTTTAAAAACTATTTTTAATACATAATAATATAAAAGCAAAATTAATAGTAAAATAATGTATTAAGAAATGTTTTAAATGAAGGGAAAATTTTTCTCATTTTAATACAGAAATTTAGCAATTTCGCTTGTCATTCTAAGTATTTTAAATATCGAATGGATCGATGACAGTTGGCCTATCGAATCGCTTAACAACTTCTTTACCTTTGGGTAAAAGAAGAGAATGTGGTGTTGGTTGTCGCCGCTAGGTTCGCTACCTACAACTAATTACCGGAGCGAAGACCCCTCTGTTGTCTCATTAAGGGTGTCGTTAGGAGGGATGCCATCTCCGTCGTCATAGTAACGCTCATTAATTTGTCCACTAGGTGGCGCACTGGTTACTTCCGGCAAGATTTGGATGCACATTGATGACTT